GCAAAGCACAACCTTTTCCTACCCCTCTGTTTCTTTCAGGGCTTCCATAGTACACCAATCCTCCTGACTCAAAACTTCCGTGTCACCAGAGGCTGGGGGAGGGGGAAATGGGGTTGGGGGGCGGTTAGTGTTTAATGGGTACCCAGTGCCAGTTTGGGATGATGACAAAGTTCTTGAGAAGGATGGTGGTGATGGTTACACAACAATGTGACCATAATTAATGGCATTGGACTGTACATTTGAAACGGGTGAAAATGGTAAATTCTGTGTTATGTCTATTTCACCACAATTAAAAAAAAAAAAACCCAAACCCAAAATTCATGTCATCCTTGACTTGTGGCTACCTTGCTCTCTTCTCCCCAGCTTACTTTGCTACCAGGTCATTCTGATTTTTCACCTAGTGGAGATTCCTCAAACTTTTCCATACTCCAGAACCACTAGGGACTTGTTAGAGTTATCAATTCCCAAGTCCTACCCACCTCTTTGGTGTAGGGGTGGGGCGTGGAATCTACATTTTAAACTTCCCAACAAACCTGATGTGAGTGGACTGCAGACTGCACTTGGAGAAATAATGCCTCTCAGTGCCTTTCGGTTTTGTCCCTTCCTCTTCCTTCTACTACCCCTATCCTTGCCCCGGCTGGCCCTCATCACCTCACACCTGGATTACAGCAACAGCTGGTCCGTCACTAGCCTTTCCCTATTCTAGCCTCTCCAGCTGCCAGGACCCATCTTCTACAAATATCTTTTGCATCACATCACTTCTCTGCTCGGAAGCCTACCATGGCTCCCTGAGACCTCTTAGATTCTATCTAAAGTCACTTGGCTGGAAGCCAGCCAAGTGAGCCTCCCACCCTCCCGCTTACCTTCTTCTCTGTTCACTGCCACCCCTCCCGTGCTCATTAGTCATTTATTTTCCTTATGTTAGTCCCTCTGCTAGTTTGGGGTGGTCTTTCTTCTACCTCACCCTTCCCACAATGAGCCCTGGAACACTTCTGATTACGTTGGAGGAATTGTGAAAACTGTTCAGATTCTCTATCCTGCTTCTCATTAATCTTGCCTTCCCCCATTGTGGGCTTTGCCATTCACCAGCTGTATGACTTTGGGCAAGTTGCTGAACCTCTCTGTGCCGTAGTGTTTTCACGTCCTCATGTGTAGAATGGTGATCTCAATAGGGCATACCTCATATGTCTGTGGACAGGATTAAGAGTCAACAGATGTAAAAAGTCTTATGACGGTTTCTAGCATAAAGTAAGTGCCATGTAAAGTGTTAGCTACTATTGGTAATTAGTATGATCACCTCCTCTTCCAGCCAGCTCCTCTCTGGAAACCATGTCTTCTTGGAATAGCTAACAGATGGAGTTCTCTGTTAAACCTTGCCTGATCTTGTGGAGGCAGTTAAGTATTAAGTGTTTGGGTTTCAACAAGCTCCTGTACATGAGATAACCTGAGGAACTGGGCTGTCTACAAAGCTGTAATTATGTCCATTAATTTCTAACCAAGTAGGAGGAAAGGGGCTGAGATTTGAAAGCAAGATTTTCCAGAATAAATAGGATTGACGTTGTGAGGGCAACTTCGCAATACCTTTTTTTTTTTTTTTTTTTTTGAGATGGAGTTTCACTCTTGTTGCCCAGGTTGGAATGCAATGGCATGATCTTGACTCACTGCAACGTCCGCCTCCCGGGTTCAAGCAATTCTTCTGCCTCGGCCTCCTGAGTAGCTGGGATTACAGGCATGCGCCACCATGCTCAGCTAATTTTGTATTTTTAGTAGAGATGGGGTTTCACCATGTTGGCCAGGCTTGTCTCAAACTCCTGGCCTCAGGTGATCTACCCGCCTTGGCCTCCCAAAGTGCTGGGATTGCAGGCGTGAGCCACTGCACCCAGCCAACTTCACAATACCTGAAGGGACAGTGGATCATGCATCTTGTTTCCTATGGTCTTTCTGGAGTCCTTCTGCTGATACTCCAGGTCCCGGAGGCCCTGCCCCTAGCTTTCTTGTCTGAGCCCTCCTAGAACACCCTCCCCTGTGGCCATCCCCAGCTTGAAAGCCTCTCACTTTGTGTCTTAAGCAGTCATTGTCTGGAAATAACCCATCACCCACATTTCTGTTCTAGTCTACTTTTTCTTTAAATTGACAGACACAACTAAAATTATATGCATTTGTGATGTTTTGAAATATATACGCATTGTGGAATGGCCCAATTTAGCTAATTAATATATGTGTTGTTGTTTTAGCTTTCAAATCCATGTCCTTGATTTTGTAGTGAATATAATTAATTCCTTTAAGGCCCACTGAATTCACAGTCAGTGTTTGTAATTATGTGTTCCCCCCAGCCCACCCGCATCTCTCTTTCTCTCTCTCAATGAATACCAAAAGTTCAAGTACTATAGAGTTGGGGGAGGTTTGGGAGTATTTTCGACATAAAAAAAGGGCCCTTATTGTCACTAAGGTTGGGAACCACTGCCCCGTGGGACATGTGGGAGCCATGGGAGTAGCACTAAGTTCTCTGGCTCTCAGTTTTCTCGTCTGTCAAATGGAGGTAAATCATAACTGCCTGTTTTTCCAAGGGCAGGAAACAGAGTGTTCTGTACTCAGGAGTGGGGCCAGGGAGCAGTGATCTTGTGATCCTTGCTGCTATGCTGGGAAGCCTCCATGAGGATGAGATGAGAGAATAGATGGGAGGGCACATGCAGAGGTGGCAAATGCAGGCAGGGGATGCGTACTGCTTCAAGCCTCATTATTATTTTCCTCGTTCTGGGTCCAGCTGGACCAGCTGAGCCCAGAAGCCTAAAACCCATGGAAGCCTTGCCAGGAGCAACGTGTTCTTTTGCCTTTCTCCACCCTTAGTTGCTTTTCTGTGGAGAAAAAACAACAGAGAGCTGCTCCTGTATGTGACTAAGAAACATCTACAAACTTCCTCTTATCTAGCCTAGTAACTGCTGTGGCCTCAGAAGTTGCAGTGTTTGTCTCTGTTTAGTCAGCGTTGCCTAGGAAACAAAGTTGTTCTCTCTTTACCACTACGTGACTGTGGGGCCAGTTTTTTCCCCTTTCTTGTAGAGAAAGGCTTGATGACCAGAGAGGTTTGGGGCGTTGCTGGGCTATTTTCTAGGTTTCCTTTTTTCATCTGCTTTTTCTTGTTCAGCTGGAAGTCTGGCGTGGGAAGTCTACAGAAGATTAACCAAATAGCCACAAAGTCTCTAAGCTAGTTTTGAAAGGGGGAGGGATTTGGGAGTAAGTGGGGATTGGGAGAATTGGTCAGGGTGAGAAATGGCTGCCAGGGGGCTTTGAATGCACTCGTTCGAAGTTTGTATCTGTACCAGCAGCTGTACAATCTGCATGCCATGAACCAGTTGGCAGGTATAGACAATGAACATGGCATTATGAATATCAAGGTTGGGAGCAGGTGGGGAAACTGGGATTTGAGAAGCCAGCAAGGAGGAGTTTGCAATGTTCTGAAGGGTTTTGGTGATTAGAAAAGAACAGGTCAGCTGGGTGCAGTGGCTCATGCCTATAATCCCTGCACTCTGGAGGGCCAAGGCAGGCAGGTTCCTTGAGTCCAGGAGCTCAAGACCAGCCTAGGCAACATGGCGAAACCTCCATCTCTACTAAAAATGCAAAAAAAAAATAAAAATAAAAATAAAAAAAATTCAGGAGTGGTGGTGCACACCTACAGCCCCAGCTACTCAGGAGGCTGAGGTGAGGATCATCTGAGCCCAGGGAGTTGAGGCTGCTGTGAGCTGTGATGGCCCCACTGCACTCCAGCCTGGGCAACAAGAGTGAGACCCTATCTCAATAAAAAAACAAAAAACGAAAAAACAAAAACAAAAACAAAATGTCAACGTGTATGACCTTTACAGAGGAAGAAGCAGGTCATTTTGATTACATTTAGGCAGTGGTTGATGTAAGGGGCAGAGGGCAAGACATCTTGGTCACCTTGAGGTTTGTGGCTTAGGAAAATCAAGGAATTCTGTTTCCCCAGTTTCAAGTGGGAAAAGGATAGGTATATATGCTACCAGAAGCTGAGATGGAATGGAATCACTTAAAGAGAGGTGATAGTTTCCCTTGGGAACATAGTGGGCTTAGAACACAGCTCAGAGTCCAGAGGAAGTTCAGGTTAGGGCGTGGTAGAGGAGACACTAAGCACTCATCAACAACCAATCAGAGAGCTGCTAGGACTCTGGATGCTGGGGACATGGAGCTGGGAAAGGGTGATGGGTGATAATGAACCCCAAAGAGAGGTGGATGAAGGAATCTGGAGTCGGGAGCCTTAGACTTGGCCCTGCCCAAGTGGTTGGTGCGTTTGGTGAGAGAACTTTCAGCAGTGTCCCTGAGAACTTTGAGCAGGGACTGAGGACATCTTTCCTTGGCTGGAAGTAAGGGGAAGAGCAAAGGAAAGGGGAGTGGTTTTGCTTCCTCATATATTCTCCCTCCTTCTCTTACTAGGGCCTTCTTAGCTCCTTTGCCAAGCCAAGTGTCACATGTGGATTGGTATTAAGGAGAATGCATTAAGTGACCCCAGTGATGTTTTCAGAAGAGAGGAGGCCCACGCCTGTTGATTTGGTTCCTCTCTTCTCGCTCCCTCCTATGTATACCCTGCCTGTTTCTTTTGGGCCTTCCTGGGGGTATCTTTTCTCCAAAATCATCCCCTCAAGCTACGGTTGTGTGTTATGAGTCACCTTGCCACTCACTCCGAAGCTCTCATATGAAAGCAGAGCAGGAGAGAGAGGAAGGATCTGGGCTTGAGTCCTAATTCCCATAATAGTCATGTGACTTCGGGCAAGTCACTTAAACTCACTGAGTCTCAGTTTCTTTATCCAGACAGTGAGGGCAAAGAGCATGTCCTTCATATGGGTATTGTGCAGATGACACGAGATCACGGCTGCAGCATAGGCCTGGCACTGACAGGGTGCTCAAGGGATATTCAGGGGGTCAGCAAAACAGCCCCTACTGGCTGAGGGGCCTCTCCCACCCAGTCCGTTTATACTCAGTCAGACACCAAGTTTATTTTTAGAAAAACAGAGCAAAGTTTATTGAAATTTCAAGCTACATTTGAAAAATCAAAATCCAAATCCTGGAACCATACATCAGGATAAGGTGTCAAAAAGTGGAAAGTGTTCACTCTCACAAAACCCGCTACAGACAAGCTTTCTGGGCACACCTCCCAGGCTCCATTGGATCAAAGCCATTCCCTTGTTCATCCCTCATCCACAGTAGGACACCATCCTTCTGTTCACTTGAAAGTTTTCCACAATAATTACAAAACAAAACAAAACAAAACAAAACAAAAAACGTTTTCAAATGACACTGTGAAGCCCAAACTGATCTTCTCTCAACCCCATTCTATGTAGTCAGCACCAGTGAATGGTGGGTTTGGCATTCAAAAGAGGACTTCACGTTTCAGTGGACAGCTGGGGAAAGGGTTGCAGCAGCAAGGCATCCGTGGCCGCATTCAGAGCCTGGCCCCTCTCCTTGCCTTTACTCTCGAGTCTTACTTAACCTAAAGGACAAACTGGGTCAACTTGGTAAATGAACACAGTCAAAGACTTAGCCATAAGAGGTAAGGGACCAGTCAATATTCCCAAGGCTGGTTAGGCCCTTCAACATGTAGGTGGATGTGTGTATGTATACATCGCTACACTAAGATACAGATCTAGCCCTATGGGTATATATACGCATTTATGGCTATATAGAAAAACTATGCCAATACTAACCAAACAGAACTTTGTAAGCGGTCATCCCAAAGCTGTAATCCCACACTGGGCTGTGCACAAAGCCATGCATTATACCATATTAACCAACAGAAGGCTGACTTGGCTCAATCTCTCCCATCTGTGTCCCCTGCCTTCATGAAGCAGGGGAGAAGAGAGAGGTTGTCTCTGCTTAAAACAAGTGGCTTCTTCATAGGAACAGTCATTGTCAGGTGAAGCTGCTGAAGATGTCCATGGAAATGAGAAACAGACCCCTTAAACTTTCTGGAGCAAACTGGTGTCACACCTCAAACTACCCTTCTCCTTTGCCAGTTGCAGCTAAGTTGCCCAGGCCCTGGGAGCCCCCAGGGCGCAGTAGCATTAGAGGCTCACTGGCTTGGTGTTACTAGGCCCCATGCAACTCAGCCTCCAGAGACCTGCTCTTGTCAGGGGGTCTGTCACTGGAGTGGACCCAGGTGGCCATGTCCTTAGGACATCTCTTGGCACCAGCTATGCTAGGTGTAAAGTTCTCCTCGTGAGATGACGCTTGGGGAGCCAAAAACAAACTGGAAAGAACTAGGTAAAACAAGTTTAGTGGCTCTGCCCACCCTGAGGACAGAGCCACTTACACCGCAGAACCACCAGGAGCCTCGGGCACTTGTGGGGATTCGGGAGCTGGCTCTTCAGGGCTCAGACAGGACTGGAACTTCTCCAGCTGCTCTGGGCTTGCCAGGGTCTTCAACAGGGTGTTCTCACGCTCTAGCTGGGAGTTCTTCTCCACCAGCTCTCGGATCTGCTCCTTCAGGATCTCCACCTCCTCTCTCACAGCATACATCAGATGATTCTTCACCAGATCCTGCCAATGAGGGAATCATAACAAAGCCATTCCTTAGCCATCATGGACCCTCTGCAGCACCTTTGCTCTGCCATTGGTGTGCCTGTGCTGTCCTTAATGCCAGGGCCCTCCAGCCTTCCCTCAGTGAACTGGTCTGGCAAGTCCAATTCCTCGTTCACCTTTCTCTGAAGCACTTAAACCCTCATTCAGGAGAGCTACATGATTTGGCTCATGCTGGAGTTGAGAGCCCAGCTTTGAACTAGATAGGTTCTCCCCTCCAAGTTTCCAATGACTTTCAAAGCTGGCTGCTGAGGGGCCTTTGGGATGACACTTCTGCTGGTTGCCGGTGGTTTGCTATGTCCCCCATTTTACATAAGCCCCTGCTGCTGCTGATCCAGATCTGGGGGAAGGGGAGACCTGCAATGCATCCCATACTGTTTGTCTGCTGTACAAATCTTAACCAAGAGAATAAAATTGGCTATTTTGGAGTCTCCTCCCCTCCATATGACCCAGCACATTGAATTGCAGCTGTCCTGCAGCCGGCCAGTTAGCATGCAGGACATTGGCCTTGGGGAAAGGTACAGAACTCCTGCATCCTCTCTGAATTTGATGACTGCAATGGGGGCAGGGAAGGTGTCCTTAAGCTCCAGGGCACAATTAAGTGGCTCCCAACCGCTGAAGTCCTAACCCTCTGCAGCCATTGTGGCTGCTCCTTGGAGTATGACCTCTACCTGGTAAGGAGAGGGACAGGGGTGAGGTGCTTCGCTTCCTGTTTCCACCCAACTCCTGACCCCAGTCCAGGCTCTGCAGAGGCACTGCAGTGCTGTTGCATCCAATGAGCTCTGCCCCTTGCTAGCTGCACGATGCACACAAATGCAAGAATCTGAGCTCCCTGCCCAGCAACAGGCCCAGAAGAGAGTCAGAGCCTGCTGCAAAGACCTGAGATGGAGGAGAGAGGAAGAAAGGAGGGAGCCCGGGAAGGGAAGACTGGAAATGCCCTAAAAAGTGTCACTGTAATCAGACTCCACCTCCAGTGGGGATAGGAGGCAGGCTGTCGGCTTCCTCAGGGTTTTGGCTAACGGCTTTTTCACCCATTCCCTCAATCCTGCCCAGAGTTACATAAGCAGCAGCTAAGTCAGGGGATGAGAATGACGCAGTGTTGCCACTCACCATGGCCTGTTCGATCTTGTTGTCTATGGCCACCACGCTGGCTCCGGAGGCACTGCCAAGACAAAAAGCAAAGCGACCTATTACCCACTCGGTTCTACTCTGAGTACATGGCAGTTGTGGCCAAAGTCCTCCACCTGCCTTGGCTCTTCCTCTCTATCTCTCTTTCTCGCCTCCCTGGCCCAGAGTTCCGGACACTTTGTCCCCAGATCCTTCCTTAGCCCCTGCAGGAAGCTGCATCTCCTCATCGAGGCCGGCTCAGCGCTGCTGCCGCCGCCCCGAGTTCCGCCCCGAGTTCCAAGCGATCGGAGCTGCGTGCCAGTCCTGGGGCGCACAGGCCACCGTGGCCTGCTCAGACGATATGCAAACAATGGGGGGTGCGACCCGGGGAGTACCCCACCGTCGGCCTACAAGGTCCCGGGCAAACCTACCCGGCTCTAAAGCTAGCTAGGAATTCCTTCTCGGCTGGTAAGCTTCCGGCCTTCTCCCAAGCGGCGCACGGCACTCGGCCAGCCCCCTGCCCAGCCCTGCCTGGCCCTGCCCGCCGCCCCTCGGCCTCCGGCTGCCTCTGCGGCTGCAGCAGCTCGTTTTCACGGCGCAGCGGCCGCAGGGACGCTTCGACGACGGATCCCAGAGCGGCGGTGACCCCCCCCTTCCTGCGTCCCCTACCCCCGCCCCTTCCCAGGATGCTGCACCGCGGGGAAAGGGGACCAGCGGCGCACAGCTCGCTCAGAGATCGGGCTGGTAGCCCAGCTCCGGCCGGCGCCCCGGCTCGGTAGGCTCCAGAGTCAGCGGTTACCTGTTGTCCAGCTTAACGGAAACCACATCCCCTCCAAGCAGGGAAGAGAAGAAGGAGATGGAGAAATTGTGCAGCTGATAGACCGCCACCTCCATGGGGGTCTGATACATTTCGGTGTTCATGACTCGGGCTGCTGGGGAGCTCTGGCCGGGTTTCCTGCCGTGCTGGGCTGCTGGGCGGCTGCTGGCAGGCTGCGCTGGGCTGGGCTCTGCGCTGGAGTCCGGCCCTGAGGCTAGGAGCGGGACGAAGGCTGCAGAACGAACCCAAAGCCAGGCAGGCGCTCCAGCTGGAGTGGAAGGGAAGTGACTCGAGGGGTGTCACCTCGTGTGTCACAAACTCCACGGCCGCCAGTCCAACCCAGACTCGGAGATATTTTGGCTCCTGCTTCTTTATATAGGAGGAGCCGGCTGCGTCACATGGCGTCAGGGGCCATGCAAATGAGTCCTGTACCGGGCTTTGTGGCCCAGTTAAACCACATCCCCTCCCTGAACCTTAGGCTGAGACTGTAAACAGTTCAGCGCTTTCTTGTACCAACTGGCATCTCCAAAGAGGGCTCTAGAGATTGATAAAAACCAAACTGGAGCTGATTTCTAGAGAAATAAGAAATACAAATGCCCTAACAAGAGGCAGAGGGCATTCAGTAGAGAACAGCGCTAGTTTGAAAAGCTCTTCTTCAGGTGGCAGCCAGCATGCCCCCATGGCTTTGCATGCTCTCCTATGTCATACTCCCTGACACCCGCCCTCACCATCACGGCCTCACCTTCTTCCCAGTCACTGCCCTCTCAGTCTCTCCCCTGCACACATACTTTGTCACCTGCACATTCACTTTCTAATCAACCCAGCTTTCCCCTCACCAGCCAGCTGGCATGCCGACCTGCCCTGAACCCCAGCACTCATCCACTTGCCCCTTCCTCTGAAAGTTCAGGTGTGGGAGTACTTGTCTGTGGACTGGCACATGTACAGGTCTGTGACATGCATGTAATGCATGCACAGGTCCACTCTAATCTACAGATGCATATGTATGGTGTGCGGGAGCTGAGGTGAGTGGGTGAACATGTATGGGAGAGCAGCTAGGTGGGTGACAGAGGAGGTGAGGAGGAGACAGGGCATGGGAGTGAGCATTGGCGTGACCACAAGACGCCAGCCCTTTTCTCTTTGGTCTACCACATTCTACTCTTCAAATAAAATACATTAAACATTATCCAGGATCCCGTGTCTCTATTTTTTAAAAACAAAACTTTGTTACTTTTCTTTAAAAAAGTGAATGACAACACTCTAAACCAAAGGTATAAATATATATAAACAATCCCAGGAAAACACCTGCCCTGTGATGGGCCCAGCCATGCACAGCATTAGAGGGTACTTCAGGAAAAACAGACTCCAAACCATAAACTAGATGAGGTGATTGTTCCATAATAAAAGTTACACGTTTCCATTAACACATATTTTCTTTATATTCAGCCTCAAGCTGAGGGGGGGAAAAAAAAACAAAAGCACCAGAGACTTGAGGTCCTTTTCTTCCGCTTCTTCCTAAGTGAGGCCACCTGGTGGACAGAAGCAGGATTGCCACCAGAAGGAGCAAGAGGGGCAGGGACAGGTGATGGAACCCGGAATATTATTTACACAAACCCAGGACCAAAGGAGAACACTGGGTTCCACCACATATACAATAGTTTGGATGAAGTTAAGGCCAGTACCCATGAATCAGTGCTCCACAGGCTGTGGTCCAAAGAAAGATCCTAATGCAATCATGCTATTGGAAAAGTACTGGGGCCTCTTATCAGCAAAGAAGGTAATTATTATTTGCTTCAGGACATTTATCTTAACCAGGTGCCTGGCACCAACACCCTGGCCAAGGCCCCAGCCAAGCCCAGTCTGAAGGCCTTGATTTCCTCCCGGCTTCCAGGGCAGTTATGCCACTGAATAGCCAACATTTTTGGCTATGGTGTGGTGCTCTATTGGTGGATTCCAGTGGTGATAATATGTGTACAAGAGCCATTATATTGCAAAGTGCTGACCAATAAACTAAGTAAATCTGCTGCACTAGCCCGGGATGGTGTTTTTCTTCATCTCACTTTAGGTAGGAGACAATCCCAATCTCAGGACATTCCATTAACTTTAAGACGCAAGCTCTCTGAACATGGCGTTTGCACTAAGACAAGTGTAGTAGACAGAACAAAGTGCAGACTATACTTATGGATCATCAAGAGCATTCGTTGAAAAAAAACTTCTTAAATCAGGAGCTTAACTAGTATCAGAATTCCCTGATATATTAGTATTAATCTGCCCTCCGCACCACGTAGAGTTTTCTTGGTCCAGAAAGTCTCCGAGCTGACCTTTCATTGGCTTGTTAATTTTTCCTCAACTATTGCTTTCCCCTCCCCTCAAGATTCCAAGGAAGATGATGAGAAGAAAAGGGGACAGAGAAATAAGCTGGGCTGTCAGGGGAAAAACACCACCAGGAAAACAGGGCACAGGACAGAAGTAAAACAGCTCCTTCAACAGGGACTCCCTTATGTGGAGACAGAGGCAGAGAAATCCAGGGGGCATGGGAAGGGAAGGCAAAAGGGTTAAGGTTCCCAGCAAAGCTGCATTTGAATTGATCATTAATTTGTCTAGGGCCATACCTCCCTGAACACACCTGATCTCGTCTGAGTTGTTCATTAGTTGTACTTCAATTATGAAAGCAAACTGAGTCTGAGACTCACTGACAATTGTAGTTACTATTAATATAGCATCAGCTATGGGCAGACACTGTGCTGGCTGCGCCACCAACCCCAAGGTATAGGCACTGTCACTATCATTTTACAGATGAAGAAATCAAGGGTCTGAGAGGCTACCTTGCCCAAGGCGGCAAAGGTAATAAATTACAGAGCTGGAACTGCAGCCCAGGGTCTTCCTGACCCAGAGATCAAATTTGTTCCTACTGCACTGATCAGTGAGGCAGGGAATAGGTTTGTTGAATGGGTAGAGGCTTGAATGAGTGAGTTGAGGAAGTTGGTAGGGGGTTTGGAGGTGCCAGAGAGTGGTAAGGAGGAAGAAAGGGTGAGAAGCAGCAGTCCTACTGTTAGAGAGGTCCAGAGACTGCCTTTGAGTTCTGCGAGCCTTGGCTTTTCTAACACGTGAGGCAGAGGAGAGCTGCAATGGGTGACTGGAACAATATCCAACTGTCCAAATAAGTTTTATGAGACGGCCATGCTCACCCACATCAATCCAAAAGGCAGCCAAGCAATCCTCAAAGAAAGCTATCTGTTTGGGAAATAGGAGACATTAATCTAACAGGGTGGCTTCCAGAATGGAACATGTAGGCCTGGGGTGTACAATATTCCAAATCAAGTATGGAGTCTTGGCAGCACAATCACAATCCAGTCAAACTTTGAGTTCCTGAAGCCCCACTCACCGACACCCTTAATTAACTCCTTTTTCCTCCTATTCCAGCTGTGCTCAGCTTTTAGGAAAATGAGGTCAATAAGAAAACAAGTTCATATCAAAGATTTAGTTTAAAAAAAAAAAAAAAAGACTTGGAAAGGAGGTCCCAGGTTCATCCCAGACTCAGACAAGCTCTCATCCTCTCTACATCTCTGGTTCTGTTGAGTGAGATGTGATCACCCTGAGACCTTATGATCCTCCAATAGGAAAGAATGAATGGATCCCAGGGTCCACTAGCTCCCTAAAGGAAGAATATGGACTTAAATGTCTCTGTAGAAAGATTTTCTGGCCAGGCACAGTGACTCACGCCTGTAATCTCAGCACTTTGGGAGGCCGAGGCCGGTGGATCACCTCAGGTTAGGAATTCGAGACCAGCCTGGCCAACATGTTTCTATTAAAAATACAAAAAAATTAGCTGAGCATGGTGGCGCACGCCTGTAATCCCAGCTACTCGTGAGGCTGAGGCAGAAGAATCGCTTGAACCTGGGAGGCGGAAGTTGCAGTGAGCCAAGATCGTGGCATTGCACTCCAGCTTGGGCAACAAGAGTGAAACTCCGTCAAAAACAAAACAAAACAAACAAAAAACAAAAACAAAAAAAGATTTTCCAACAACAAGGGCAGGGGAGATAAGGGTGGGTAGGAAGGGTGGGGGTGGGGGAAGGAGGAGGAACCCAAAGAGTTTTCTGCTTAATCCTCAGCACACCAGAAAATTTCTCCATCCAGAATAGCTGTTCCACACCTTGCAGTGAGTGGAAATTTGTGCTGTACCTATCCATGATCTGATCCAATATTGAGACTCTCAGGGTCCTTGTGTCCCGTGGAAGTGG